TTAGGAGATTGGTCGGAACAAACAGACAGACAAAAAAATTTAAAATTTTATTTTTTTTTCTTTTCCTTATAAGTACCTTAGCTATATAATTTCATATGCATTTAATAAAAAGCTGTTATTTTGGACATTACAAACAGACACTTTAGTTTTATTTATCTTTATCGATAAAAAAACACTATCTTTCATATTATTTTTAGAAATCCTATCTTTAACGAAGAAACATATTAAACAATGTCATAAAATTAGTTTTATGAAATTACATCTTTCGACTGACCTTAATAAGCTTATGAAATAATTTATCGAATAAGAAGAGAGATGAATCATAGAAATATTCTTCAATTGAAGTTATGTTAAAATGACCACTCATTCTGTATTCTCAATGTCTCAATTCTGTATTGTTTTGTTTATTTTGCCAAGTGTTCATACGAAGACCTTGTGGGAACACCTTACCAGTAAAAAAATCTAGTTTGTTTTATTTATACTTACATAAAATAATATACAATGAAATAAAATGAAGGCCACAAGTGTTACGTACACAGAGAGACTCTAACCTGGAGCAAGACATTGGCTACTGTTAATAATATAATTTGCCAAAAGGTGACGTTACCTCAATTATAAATGGACTCAGTTATGCAAAAAACAGCCGTGTGCGTAAAAGTACCAACAGAGTTATAAGCATTTTTCTGTCGATAGTTGCACTTGGGTTATGTTTTGTTTTTTCTGGTTATTTTATATTTGAACAATATTTATATAAGTATTGTTTATTTTTTATAATAAAATACTTATAACTCTGTTGGTACTTTTACGCACATGGCTGTTTTTTGCATAACTGCGTCCAAATACAAAAGGCACCTCGGGACAAAACGAGGTAAGTCACCACTTAAATAATAAAAATCCAGTACTATTTATTTTTTTGTTACATAGATTTTTAAAGCCAGACTAAATCTTAACTTTGCAAATATAAAGAAATTATTTATTGCAAAAAGACAACGAAACAGAAAGAAAATCTAATCTAATCTAAAAGACAAATATTTAGAAATCATAGGTATAATTATACGTCTGTTATATGATTTTTAAGAGAATTTGATCTTAAATATTTCTTAGATCTATAAAGACCTGTCGCTCTCAGGAAAATTCAATATAAATTAGGGATAAGAAATATCAAATAAAGGTGAATGATGAATCATGGACGACTTTGGAATTTCCGACCACAAAAGCTGTTATTGTAGAAGTACACTGGACGGTTAGGGATAAAGGCATATTTTAAGACAAAGGTACATTTTTAGTAAGTTAAGTCATTCTAGACGCTTATACAAAATTATTAAGGAAGAAGTTTGGAAAATAAATCCTTTAAAAAATATATATTTTAGAGTTGCTTAAGATGTAAATAAATAAATGCAGAAATAAAAATATTTTTTTATAATTTTTGTTTGAGCTTTTAATGCTTTACAATATCCTATGGGGAAAAAAATAGGAGATAATGCAAAACTAGGAGCGGAGAAATTATGTAACATACATACATGTATTTTATAAGCTACGAGAGTGGAGCGTGAGGTATATTTATATAACTATATTTTTAAAATTGTGGTGTCTATTACTTACATTATATGCGCTTTCTCTCCTAAAGCGAAGGTTAATTATGAAATTTATTGGTCAAAAGTATAATAAAAAAATGCTTGCACGAGTTTAGTTGCTACAGTTAAATTAATAAGAACAATGCAAATATAAAGCATTAACTATTACATCAGTAACGTTAGATGTTTGATAACTCTCTGATATGATTTTAAGCGTTTTTTTTGTTTTACTTAAATACATAGATGCACTAGTGACCAGCCCTCGTCAAGTTCAAGCTTAACGATCGATTACATAATATCGATTTTACTTTACTTTTAATATAAATAATCAGTGCCGGATTTAACCTTAGCTCCGCCCCTGGGCATAGTAAAAATGTCGCCCGATTATCGAAAATTTTACTTAATAAAATTTTAAAAGTTTAATTTTTTTTAATTAATATTTTTTTTGGAAAATAAAAAAGAACATATTCGATAATACTAAGAAAAAAAAATTCTCACCCTCTGAATTTTACCGCCCTGGGCACTAGCCGCGAGTGCCCCTAGTGAAAATCCAGCGCTGTAGATAATAAGCATGTATAATACGAGTACTATATAAACCATTACTAAGTGCCCAAACAATCTAAGTAAGGTAGTTTATTTCCTAATTTAATTTATAAACGAAGATAAAGCTTTTAAAAGATTACCCAACTTTTAATAGAATGATGACGCAAATTACTTAATAAAAAATAATTTGTAAGTCATTCTAAAGTTTCGCACGACACGGAAGAGGATATTGAGACCTAATGTAGTTTCCCGCCACTGTAGAAAGTATGCGCATTGATTATAAAGACAATGCAATAACGTCGAGGTTTCTGACGGCTGATTGTATGAAAGTGTAGCGATTGAATTAATAGGCTTGCTCAAAGAACTATAACTATACGGCGCGTAATAAATGCTTATTTGATCGCGCTTTCCTTTCGCAGACGAAAAACGAACGAACGAAAGAGTTGAAGGAATACAATCTGAATTGTCACATGGCTTGAAAAAAAATTGTAGTTGATTAGTTTTAATGTAGCAATTATTTAATACCTTTTATAATAAATCATATTTTCTTACGTTTTTTATTTATTTTTTGTTTCCGATGGTTTGAAAGCTTTACTGCAAACATAATCACGAGAGTGACAATTTCTTGTTTTATATCTCGTTCTTCAAGTAACATTTCTTAATATTTTTGTAAGATAAATGAATATATTCTTTAAAAAAATAATTTGTTTAATGTTTCTTGAAAAAAGAGGGATGCCAACTGCCAGGTGGTTATATTGTATATCGAGCTGTTAGCTGGTTTCAGGTTTGTTTTGTTAATGCTTCCAGATTTCTTACACAAAGAAAACTTCTTACAAAAATGTAAGATATATACCTTTTCACATCTGCTTTTAGGATGATGGAAATATAATATTCACGGTGTATATGAATATTTGGTTTAGCTTTTTCCGCCGGCACTTTCATTTTCAATGTGTGTAATGGGTATATAGTATTTACATAACCTTGACCTAAAGGATCAAAACTATATAATATGTAGCTTTTTATACATATAACCATTATTTTGGATTAATCAAAAAAAAATTTGTAAGTCAATATTGTTGTAACGAGTAGAGCTTCTAAAAAAATATCCAGATATTCTTTTATTATCGTTATCATTTATTGTATAAATTACTAGATTTCTTCTCATTTGGTATGAAGATAAAAACAGTACAGATAATAAATCGTCATCGTCATACGTTGAGCTGTGACAATGTGAAAAGTAAGAAACATCCATGACTCCATAATATTATTTATAAAGTAAGTCTAATTTTAGAATCTAAGATGCTTTTACGTCCACCTTAAACATCCCCGCTGATGCGCAGGTATTGTGTATAGTGTGTACGAGTTGTTTTAAAACAATCCCATGGTTTTGGCGTGAGCTTATTTTCGTCATTTAAGATTCATTCAAAAGTTCTAAAACGGATATTTTTATTCTTTATATTTAGTTACAAGCAATCAAAAATATGAATAAACAACAATTGAGCTTGCAAGCTTAGACATGAGCGGCAAAGTGCCAAAATAATTCTTTTTCGTTTAAATACATGTAGTTTATAGGCAAATGTACGTAAAAAATAAATTGTATTCAAGTATCTTTTTATATGTATGTATTCAGCCCTTTTTAACGTCCCACTGCTGGACACGGGCATCCCTTCAGTACGAGGGAAATCTGGCCATACACGCTGGCTAAGTGCGGGTTGGTCTTTTGAAAATTTGCTAGGTTCTCTCAGACATGCAGGTTTCCTCACGATGTTTTCCTTCACCGTTAAGACAAGTGGTAATCATGTTGGAAATGATTCGCACATGAAAATATCAGAGGTGCGAGACCCGGGATTTGAACTAGCTTCACTTAGTTTATATACAAACTCTTATTCATTTATCAATAAATAAAACGTTTCTTTGTAAACAAAAACAAATGTTCCATTTATAATTATTTTCCATTTGTAGGTGAAAAAGTTAGGTCAGTTGGGTGACCAGTTAAAAGTTTAATTATCGGGCAACCTCTCATTTGACTATTTATTGAAATTGATGATCTGATTTTATTTTGATTTTTTTTTACATGTTTCTGCGTTGATTTGTAACGGAACCTTAACAGAATAAACTTTCACAATTAGTTATTTTAATTAAATGATACAAAAATATGGTCTAACATGTTAGTTTTTACATATATTCAGACGAACTGGTTATTGCTACATCATTAGTAATATAATATGTATGTGAATGAAAGTGGCTGGGATGAAATTCTGAGATGAGGTGTATATGTATATTGTTATTAGTTAGTTTTAATTCTATATACAAGGTCAGAAAAAGAGGTCACGTAATATTGACCTGGAAAAGAAATTTAGAAAAATATTGTAGAAGCGAAGGTCGGTTCTTCTAGAGTTTGAAGTGGGTGATGCTATTTTTGGATCTTCTTTTTTGAAACCTTGCTTTTAAAAAGTTGCTTTACATTTTAATAATAAGACGTTTCTGAAGCCTTTGTGGAGTCGCTCATTACATAAATGTCGAAAATGAAATATTTAAGGAAGTTAAATATACATGAATGCACTATGAATAACAATTTACTTCCTAGAATCCTTCCACACTTTGATATATTAAATTTATTCAGTTATCAAATAGTTATTCATCCTGTTGTTAATCCTTTGCTGTTATTTAGCTTATATAACATTACCAAGAATTGTCGGTATATACAGCAATAATTTATTATGTCTATCTGTATATCTACACATATGTCATATATACAAAAATAATCAAATGTTGCTTTCTTGGATTTGCTGATACACTATATACTTCATGTACGCTTCTATGTACTTCGTGTATTTGTTTTGTAATGTCACTATTTGTTGCCTGTTGGTTTTGTTTACTCACCGTAATAGAACGACAGTTTCCAGAGATCCCTGTCCGACCAATCAATATGCAACCGAGTTATAAACCGCACGGCAAGAGCTCTTCGCTACTCGCTGCTGGGCATCCACTTGATTATTGATTTATCTGCTATTCTTGATAGCAAAGATCACTGCACATTTATGGTTCAAAAACAAAACAAGGCGTCCTATATAATCAGAACAATTAAGAGTTTCACTTGTCTATAAGACACACTTATCGTTATAGATAAGAGCTGTATTGTCGGTGCACTATATAAATAAATAATGCAGGTCGTTTCACTGAAATATCTTATCGATTGCAATTGGATGGAATACAACAATGGTGTATACAGCCAAAACAATGCAATGAAGCGAGGCGTGCACCGCACGTGCCGCCTCGCCCGCGGACACGTCCGTACTGAGCACGGAGCAGGAGTCGGAGGGGTATGAGGTGGGGGCGCGGAGGCCGGCGAGTGCGGCGCCCCGAGTGGAGTAAAGATTGCCGTTCGGGTGCATTCGCACGCAAGCCGATGATTTCGTCCGTCTGAGCAACTGAGCAAGGTAACTGCTGTGGTTTTATTTTGAAGTCGTTGCATGTCAATGCACTGGATACACCTGGACCAGGTCTGATATTAAACCGTGCGTAATAATTGTCTCCACATGCCATAATATTTAATGATGCAGAAATGATTCAAGATTGAAGCAAAATTATATGCACACCATCTTATCTTGTTACTAGGTATTGCAAAAAGGCGAGCTTTTACTATATTTACATAAGCTTTAAATTATTCTTAATTGTACCATAAATATCAGTTTTATATTTTATGTCATTTTAATGTATAATCAGGGTATACCGTATAAGTATCTGGAGAATCTTTTAGGCCTGTTTGCGCAATTTTAAGACGTTATCTTCGGCTGTCGCGCCGTGTTGAGCGCTGACGTCTGGTCTATCTATAATGTTATGGTTTCCGAAATATAAGAAAAAGGATCGGAAAAATAAACTCGAATATTTATGTTTTCACTGGTTATATAATACTTTATTTTAAAAGATTATTCACATTATACTAATTTTATAATTAACTAATTGTAATTTGCATTCATTTACAGTTTATGTACGTAGTCATTAGATATATACAGTTGTATTTCGATATATGTAGTGAAATCATATAGCGTGTTTATTACTTCTTGGACTAAATAGGTAATGAAGATAGCTTAAGTAAATGAACGAAACTGCGAGCAAAAGCTAGTAATTTTCTTAGATATACTAAATTTTAGGAATGAACGAATGAACACAATAGAAAAATCGAGTTTACGTAATTTACAAAATAATATATTTAATTTCCCATACATTTCTTAAATTTAATCTTATAATAGCTTAATATGTAAAAATAAAAACCACTTATTAACTTATGAAGTGCACAACTTGTAAGTTCCATATAAGCAATGCTTTAAGAAGGCCATTAAAAATATTTATTGCTTTCCTACGATGGTACCAGAATGATTCAATGTTGCCTACGGCCAAAATAGATGTAAAGTTTATTCATTCGGCTCAACCGAGAAAACATTCTAAGTGCCAATGACGTTGATGTATTGTCCTATAAGGCCTCATGCACAGTAGAGACTGTGGACAAAATTAACGATCAATACTTTTGTAGAGTCGATAACTTTTATGCCAAAGCTTTTTGCTAAACTAGTGCTAATTTAACAATTATAAAAGAGAGATTTCATATTATAAAACTTTTCAGATTATGAGCTAAAGTTAGATATTCCAAATTCCTACAGGTATTTACACTAGACTATTTAATAATTACATCGTAACTCATACTTTGTTTGTAAAACAATGGAAATGTCCAATAGGACAATTATAAGTACTAAATAAAGTACTTATAATAGATTCATCATATCAAATTTCATCAAAATCCCTCCAGTGGTTTTTCCGTGATGCGGTAACAGACAGACAGATATACAGACAGACAGATAAAAATTCTCAAAACTAAAGATTCGGCCTCTGATCGATAATAATGTTTATTTCAATAAGATTTTCCAAAAACTATTTAATGTACAGATTCGGCTTAGTTAGAATTTTATTATATGTATAGATTGTGCTGTCCTGAAGTTTGTTGCATATGACTGCGCAGTCAATATTGCGACCAAAAACTATGCGCAAATAGCACGGTACGGGTCGCGGAAGTTTGACAAACTTAATATGGGAGCGACACAGTTATGTTGCGAGTACCTACTAATATTTACATATTTTTATTTTTGTACACGTAAATCACGTCTGTGAAGTGTTCTTTAGATAAATGAATATTTTAAAAATATAAACTAAAAGGAATTATTTTTATCACATTAATTGCATAAAAGCTTAATAGTAGGCTTAATTTTTTTACATATAAATAATATTATTTCATAAAACAATTAAATGTAATTTGTTTTAATTAATGTATATTATAAGGGTATACACTAATCTATACATATAATAAAATGCTAACTAAGTCGAATCTGTACATTAAATATTTTTTGGAAAATCTAATTGAAATAGACATTATTATCGATACAGAGTCCGAATCTATAATTTTCAGAATTTTTGTCTGTCTGTCTGTCTGGAGGGATTTAGATGAAATTTGGTATGATGATAGCTGGTTATCCGGGTTAACATATAGGATACTTTTTACCGCAGGAAAATATCTTATTTCTGAAAAAATATACAAAAACTGGTTAGAACAAAACCACGACAATACTATATATATTTTAGCAAGGTAACTTACTAAATAAGGCAAAATATATTTAAAAATAGCTTATTTCGCAAAAAATAACAATAGCGCTATTTTATTTGGTTATTGGTCATCTGAACGCGGGCGGAGCCGCAGGCAGTGCTAGTACTATATATAAATGAATCTCACTAGCTATCTCGAGATAAAATATGGGCCTCATTGCATCCTAGCAGGATTCCAGGAGCCATGTTAGCCATTGGATATAGTGCACAAGTGTGCGCGCAAACACAAATGGACGACATTTCGACACTTGTGGTGAGAGGTCAGCTTTATGTGCTCTACGAAGCACAGGGGTTATAACCGTTAACTTGGGTAATTGGTGGTTACTAAGAATATCTTGACAAAGATCCCAGTAGCTATACTTGGCCCGACCCAGGAATTAAACCTTGGATCTCTTGGTCTGCAGCCGAAATTCCCAATCTGCATAGTAACGAACTTATGCCCTCTAAAATTATTATAAATTATTGTAAAAGTTACCTTTTTTATTTGCTTTTATATGGACTCCGGAAAAACTAACATTATTATTATAAGTTATTTTCGTGATATCAATGTATTTTTAAGGCTAATACCAGACAGGGGTGAAACTTTATCGGTAAATCGTTAGGATTCATTATTGATGTAAACGAGGGTGCAACCCCATGTAATGTAGTAAATTTCCAATATATCGAGGCTTTGAATACTGTAAAACGAAGTTACCTATAATGTATGTATGTTATATGTACTTTGTGACACATAAATATATGAAGATAATGTAAGTAAAAGGTCCCTTTTAAATTAATTCTAGCGTACTATTACTTTTTTGGATTGCTTTAGTTTAGGTATACATATTCGAATGCTAAATTATTATACTATAGGAATTATAGTTTGTAGTATAGGTATTATTTTGTATAAATCCCATTAATATTGCGAAAGTTTGGATGGATGTTTTTTAGTCATCACGGCAGACAGCTTAAACGGATCTGGATAAAATTTGGTACAGATATAGATTGTAGTTTAAATTAGCTAATCGGTTAAATTCTAGAAAAATGTACGGTTCTCGTGGGATAGATTTATTTTTGTTTTCCGCTAGGGACGAACCCGAGCGAAGCGAGAGTGAGTTGCTAGTATAGTATACATAATAAGGTTTTTTTTGTTAGCAATCAAAATTTCTAACCGAGGTGTAATGTAATAGTGGTTTCCATAGTGATAAATTAAGGCTCAACAATTGACTAACAACCGGTGAAACTTTTGTTATAATCTTAGCCAAGCTTAAAGTTCACTAATAGAGTATTATTTGAGACACGAACTTTTAACAACAAAATACTTAACAAGCTTTGAAACTTTTCTTGCTTCTAATATATGCTTCTTTGAAAGAGAAATATAAAAAAAAAACATTTATAATACTTGAAATAGTTTTGTTAATACAAAATGGTGGGCAAGATGTCCAATTCTTTTAGAACAATGCCTATTTCATATTTGGCATTAATCTGCAAGAGTGATGAATATAATGTGTAAAAAGGTATAAAATTATAATTTACTGTGCACAAAATCGGACATAAGAAAGCTTTTTAGGGGTTTTACGATGTAAAAAAATTAAAGCTCCAATCTAAACACAATTATATAATTGTATGGTGTAAGATGATCATCGTATAAGGTATAATTTATTACAGTTTTTGTACATGCTTTAATAGAGCATTAGCGTTGGATAATGATGGGATCTACCTGTGTGGTCTATTTCATAAATAATTAAGCTGAACAAATCTTGTCCGGTCACTGACGACGATCTGCAGGATTTATCTTAACGTAATTTTTACTTATATCGCTATAAGTGTGAATGTTTTTTAACCGACTTCCAAAAAGTAGGAGATTCTATGTTCGTCTGTATGTTTTTTCTTTGAATTTATATTTGTTCACCGATTTCTCGAAAATGGTTTTTCCTATATCGTCTATTAAATAATCTTTAGAGCTTTAATTATGTTAAAACCAGCCAATATAATCTGTCTACATAAGATAATACCTATATTAAAATTACCTATACTATATAAATATGCAAAGACAATACATTTAGTACCTTTTTCTCCTTAATTTCTTAACCAATTTTTTTATTATGGTATCAATACAAATAAATGATTATGATCAAATTTCGATCATTGGGAAAACACGAGTAATAATAATTAATCCGACCTTTTTAATGTCACACGACTGAGTATGACTCTCCTCTCAATGCAAGTGCTAATCAATCCTATCAATCAGGTCCATAGTCCATGATGTTGGCAAAATGCGGGTTGGCGGACGTTATACGTCTTTCAAGAGTTAGTTCACATCTAAGGTTTTCTTAGATGAGAACGTTTTCCGAAGTTTTCAATATAAATGACCATGACAGTATATTTTTACAATGGACATTTTTATTCATGGATAACCTTATGGTAGGATCATCTGAAATTTAAGCCCGCGAATGGAAAGCGTATTGGGCAATTATCTATGAAACTATCTTATTTGTAACATAAGAATTAACTTATTGTATGTGTTCAAAAAATTTTAGTCTCTTAGACAAAAGTGGTTAGTTTTGGGAACTGCCAAATATATGATGCCTTATAAAATTATAAATTTTTCCGCTAATAGTTTTTTTAATATATTTTTGGTCTTCTGATTAAGTTTGGGCTTACATAAATGGTATATTGCCTATTACAGCAGAGGCTGCGGACTTAATTTTTTGATAAATGAAATCTCTTGTTCGAATATTTTTTCTGTGTATTTTATGATGCTATGACTGATTCCACTCTCTTCGTTCACATCCACTGTAACCAGCCCCACTTTAGTGTAGCTCACTGTAGTAATAAATCTGAGGGTAACTTCGTCTGTTTATTTGATTTTCATCTTTACTCTAAAAAGCTATTCTTTATAACATGCATTC